CACACACACACACACACACACCATTCCAAGTGTAAATAAGTTCCCGTTCGTTGCCGTCACCTCGTTAAACTTACCTGATGACTGACGAGCTACTTGCTAAAGCTACTGTATTGTTGTACTGTGTTGCTATGGTGACCATCCTCCCATAAACAGCCCACAGGTCACACAACAACTTTTCCCGACACACTGATTAAGGAACAAGCTTCTTGTTTTGTCCTGATTTCATTGCTATTCAGAAAACACCTGATTTGATTGTTTGTGCATTTTGTTTGTGATCCATTTCAGAGGGAACATCTGGGTTCATTCTGCGCGGTGACCCGGGACCTGCTCTGGTCAATAAGTTCTGTTCACCTTTAACACGGAGCACATCTTGTTGACGACGAGTTCAAAGCTACAAAAGGACAAAGCAGCAGAAAAATGGAGGACTTTCCATTTTGTGTAGTTTGATAGCTCAATAATGCATCCATAGTTCTGGAGCAGAACCGAGACAGAACTGTTTTTAAGTGGAGCCGTCATCAGGACGTGTGCAGCCTGTGATGAGAGACAGAAAACAAACTGCACATATGACAGAATAAGAGCTGCTGAGGTCACGGAGGTCCAAACCTCCTCATTCAGTTCTGCCATATTTCCTTCCTTCAGCCTTTCTCGTCGTGCTGATTTTACATCGTGAGCTTCACCTGCAGTTTGGCACGTGTGTGTGTGTGTGTGTGTGTGTGTGTGTGTGTGTGTGTGTGTGTGTGTGTGTGTTCGTAGCACTCAGGAGCTTCATCTTGTATAATGACGACGACAACGGCTTGTGAGTTGCTGAATGTAAACTCCCTGCGACCAAACGAACAGACGAGTCAGTCCAGAACATGTGTGAATGATCCCAACACGCTGCAGACCGGTGACCTCACACACGTCTTCAGCCTGATGCTGGACGTCTGTGTGCGAGCTGCAAACGCTTCAACCAACCAGCATGTGGAGAAACTAACCAACAACTGGCCCAGAAGTCCGACAGGGCGAGGAGCGGCGCTGAGAGATGTGCAGTGGGTTCAGATTACCAGGCGGCCTCCTTTCCCGGGCCTCCACTCTCAGCCCTTTTCAAAGCCTATTGTCCTCTTTGAAAAGCTGGCTGCAGGTACAACTGGGAACCAGTCTGAGCACGCTCTTTCATGTGGAGTAATTATTTTTTGAGGCTTTTTAATGAAGGAAATTCTCTGTGAGGAAAAATCACCTTTTGTCAGAGAACAGTGGCGGCTCGACGCAGCTATTCAGGCCGAGTGTAAGCCTAAAGCCAAATAGTGTTTTCATTGGCCCATATGGTTTTTGCAGTCGAGCCTAGATCTTGTGTAGGCTATGCATGTTTTCTGAGGCCTAAATCCCCTTGTTCTGTGTGTGTGTGTGTGTGTGTCGCTGTTAAAATCTGAACTGTCCAGCTCGAGCTATCTGCTGCTAATCCCTCTGAATACAGACTGATTAGGCTAAGACTGCTGCTGTCCCAGTAAGCAGAGTGTGTGTGTTTTGCTGTGTGTGTCTGTAGCGGTCAGCAAAGGGGGAATTTGCTTTGTTACAAAGCGGATTAATTTGGCTTGCCGTCACTAACAGCTTGGAAAAGTGCCCGGTCTCCTAACGAGAGGGTTTCTTATTAAATATTAACCAACATGCCATAAATACACCAACACATTACGCTTTAATACGGCCTCTTACATGCGAGGAAGCGACTCGTGGTACAGTTTGATGGGAACCAGAACGTAGTGAAGCGGTGCACCTGCACAGGCCAACAATGCTGCATTGTGAGCAATGAGAAAGGAAACGGGACACAGAGCTCTGCTTGCATTACAAAATGGATACCGGGTTGATTCTCAAAGCAGGAACAGGAACGGCGGCATTTAGACTCAGCGGCAGAGGGAGGCTGATTTCAGCCACAAAGCCAGATCAAGACAACTTGAAACTGTTTGACAATAAGACGCTGCACATCCCGCAGCTTCTACTGAAACAGGAGAGGAAAGCTCGTCCTGTCTCTTCGCTACGCAGTCACAATTCTCTGAGCGCTAGTTGTGAAGTATGTGTGGTGTCGGTCCTCCACTCCGACTCGGGCTGAAAACGAGCCGTCAACACGTCTGGCGCTAAGTTGCACATCAGCGTGAGGGGAGGCTAATCTGCTCCGGAGGCACTCTGACCCTCGTTACCTCCAACACCTCATCTCATCTTGGCATTCTGCACGGTGCTCGCACAAGGCAAACGCAAAGTCTCCATAATAACCTTCATTTGGTAATTGGTATGCAGAGGTCTGAAAAATGAATTACTGATCAGCGAGCTGTTACCACGGTGATAACGTGAACTGCAGGCCTAAGGAGGAATCCATGGCGGCAGCAGAGAGATGGGATGTGGGGATGGAGGCAGGATTTAAAAAGTGGATAAGCGCCTCGACTCAATCTTCTCCAAGTGTGTGACATTGGCTGTATTGATCAAACGTGCTCATTACATGAGGCGGGACGGGGAACGGGGGCCTGAGGGGACTCCTGGGGCCGGACTAGTGGCTCTTGAGGGCCCAGCAGCAAATGAGGAGAACTTCCACTGCCTTTAATTCACGAGGAAATGTGCTCACCATAGAATATACAGAACTACTGTAGCTCAGAGGTCAAACGAACACGAACACGACAGGCCAGAAGGTCTGGAAGGTGTCAGGATTCTCTGGTTTGTTTCATGAACTACTGTTTCTAAGATCGTACTTCAGCATCCACAGTAAGTGCAGTTTATTTATGGAGGGCCTTTCTCCATCAGATGCCACAAAATGTTTTATAATTAAAGACAAAAACGTTCCCACATGGCGGCTAAATGTGAGCAGACACATCGGTACTGATTCACTTCAAGTTTCCTCAGAACATTATTGCTCTGCTTCATTATCTCCATCATCTGTTCCTTTACACATTTCATTTACTACATTTCAGGAGTTATTCTTACAGCTACTGCTCGTCGTCGCTCTAATACCAGGAGTCTACACACTGGGGCCTAGAAATATGATGCATTCATGTACAGTAAGCTTAACATGGCTGGTGTGTTACCTGTGACCTCCTCATCACGGCGCCATGCACCCGCTCTATGTACGCTGTTTAACACTAAATGGTTCAGCACTGTATACATGCACTGACCATCCATCACTCAGCTGCTCCACGTTTCACCGTTCTGAACAGGAACGAGGAATTTCTAACTGAATTCACCTTTTTAAACCCAAACCTGAGCCACTGGGCTTCTCTGAGGAGTTAACCAAGCATCACATTCAACCACTAAAACTATGTTTTCTGTTCAGGAATGCAAGTAAAGAACAATAATCTGACACCGTCATCAATAAATAATACTGTGCTTTACAATAATAATTAGATTTCAGCTTTAAAAACATTTAAAAAAAGAGCTTCTCCATGCTGGTGTATTAACCATGACAAAGAGGTCATGACCAGCTGTGGGATAAACCGTACATCCGTTAAACACTGTATGAAACTGAACAGACGATAACTTTAGAGTAAAAATGCATGTGGAAAAAAAAAATAAAGATTCTGTGAGTTAAAATAAATATATGAAGGAAATACAGTGAAAAAGCTTTTGTCAGTGAGCAGATCCATGCGCGCTCTGAACTTTGTTCTGTGTACTGCATTCATACAAACGTGTACTCTTAATTAATTAAATCAGTGTCTAAGAGACGACTGAACATCAGTGAGTTCCAGCTCTATGAACACATATCTATGCAGTTTTCTACAGCAGCAGCAGCAGCGTCGTGGATGTGAGACAACAGAAGAAACGATCTGACATGCAGCAGCAGCAGCAGTAATGGCACTAAGTCTGCATTTCACCTGAACAGACATCATAAACTTTGCTGCCATCACTTTAATTTCATGCACACACTGTGCAACATTTATTCATTCTCCTGCAGATCCTCCCATGTCTCTCCCACCACACACGCCTTGAAAATAATCATCTTGGCACTGACCAGACTGGCAATGATTTTGTATTTTTCCCCCAAACAGATCCTATTCCATCTGAATAAAGCAAACACATAAAAATCAGATTTTGCACATTGGCTGTTTCCTCCTGCTCGTGTGCTCATTACAACTCAATAGCTTTGTGGGTCTGTAAGTGCATCCTTGATGAGGAAAACCTGAGTGGATTTCGAACAGGGAACAACAGAAGCACGCTGCCTGAAGCTGCAGGAAATGTTGGCACGACGAATCAGCCAGCCGCAGGGAAAAGAAGGCAAATCACCGTGTCAACAAAAAAATACAACAAGCACTGTAGTGAAAGGAGGAAAAAAAGGCCGAGTAATAGCAGGCCGACGAGGGGAAACAGCACCGGCAGTCCTTAAGCATTCATTTAATATATATAAGTATATAATGTTAATGCTTTAATTCATCGTTCATTAAATCTACATAAAAACCAACAAGCTGCGATACAGCCGACTGCAGAACAAAACGGTGTCTCAGGGAGGAAAAGACTGGAGTACATTCATGAAGTGGCCTGTCCACGCCGAGAGAGAGGCTAACACAGCCTCGTGATGGATGACATGGACACACTTATTCAGTATTAGCATTTATTAAACCCTGAGTATACCGCTGCTGCTGACAAACTCAATTAGCACACAGTAACGAGTTAAGCCTGCCGTGTTTTTTTCCTGCATTGTGGGAGCAGAATGGAGGATAACTCAGCCCCCCTATCAATTATCCTAATCAAACAAAGACCTAATGCACAGCAAATAATCTGTTTAAAGGCATTAGGCAGCTGATAACTCTGCACAAGCTAGCTGCATCCTATTTGCCACACCAAGGGTACTCAAAGTCAGCGGCCAACTTCTGCAGGCCGCCGCTCTAAACTGGAGCTACGACACGGTGTGTGTGCGAATGCATTAACAGCCATGGCCGGCACACTCCCAACAGCATCCCAAACAGCTGGACGCCTCTGTGTGAGCCAGGGCTCAGAACGCCCCACAGCTGCAAGCAAAGACACAACATGTGCAGCTGTGAACACAACCGAGCTGCAAGGTTCTGCTCACGGCGATCGTTACTGTATCGGCTGATGCTACGCTCACACGGACCACATTTTGGCATAAATTTCCATTTAAATCAGTCATAGCTGAATTAAGTTATGAAGCTGCAGAACAATGGGGTCTCAACAGGGCCCCAAAGGTCAGCCTGCTGCTCAGCCGAGCGGCTCCGGTACCTCCTCTGCGATCGCTTCATTTGTGATTTAAACCTAAATTAGTTTGTGGTTTATGGAAACACATTTAATCAATAGATGCTCGTGGTCGCACAAAATCGATGACTTTTTCTGATAAATGACAAAAAAAAAAAAGTGTTTTATGTTCCTCAAAATAAAGCATCAAAAAGTTTTCCTCTGCTGTCGTTACAAAAGCTCCACTTCAATCCACAGCCTGTCTTATTTATAGGAAAGCACGTGACCAGTTCCAGCAGATCATTAATACACATGAGCCTCGAAATGTTCCGTCCACAGAACCTGCAGCAGCGGGTCAACGCTCAGCTTATCTCACGGAGCTCTGCGTAAACCATCCAGGCCTCCTGGAGCCACCGTGGAAGCAGCAGCTCCGTTTGGCACTATGAGGGTTCCTGCTGTGGCCGAGCAGACGCCACGACGACCTGAACCAAAGGAAGCTCCACACTGCACCAAGACACACAGCCGGCGCTCACAGCTCCCTATTGTATGACTTTAGATGGGCTCCTTTAGGCGAAGACGATTAAAAAAGAGACTGGAATGGAAGGATGTAATCAGGAAGGAGGAAAGGAGCAGAGGAGCAGGGAGGGAGTGCAGTTGGAGAGCAACTGGATGAATGAATGCATTAATTAATCTAATGAACGGATGAATCGTCTGTTTTGTTTGCCGCGGCCACAACCTATTTGGTTCGCTTCCCAGCACTCCGGTGTGAGCGCAGCCTCATTAAAAAGCCTGTCACATTTCGTCAAGTGGTCTCCAGCGCGAAGTGACCGAGCTCACAGGGAGCAGCTCCTCATTAACACCGCCGCCTATTTACAAACAGCAACGCAGCTCCGCTTTCTGCCGCCGACGCCAAACCGTCACGTGCCAGAAAAAGACAAACGTTAAGAGACGCGTCCCCGTCGAGGGCGAGCACCGGGAGGCGGTTCACAGGGACGGGATGTGATTCTATTACAAGGGGGACAACAGGAAACCACAAGCCAGCGTCACCAGAAAAACCTCCGAATGTCTCAAAGCACCATCAGCAGGAAGGCGCAGACACACCGGGAAGCCTCCGACCACGCTGACTCCAGCCGTGTGCGCTGCCACTAATTAAAATGAGCTTTCATTTTTCCAGGCCTCCACAATGTGCTGTAACGAAGCAAGAGGAGTCCAGATCTCAGCAATCTGCTCCTGGACCCACACCGCATCATCATCAGCAGCAATTCCTCCTCCAGTCCTATGGATGGCAGAGAGACTCGGCAGACCTCAGACAAGCCCAGAGTGAAAAGAGAAGCCGGGCAGTTCTCACCAGAGGAGTGTCCACGATTGGTGGCGTCGTGGTCGCTGTCTCCCTGCTCGCTGTCCCCGTGGCCGCTGTCTTTGGAGCTGACCAGGTCCGCCTCCTGGAAGGCCGAGCTGAAACCAAACAGAACATTATATCAAAGCCTCATTTAGCATTTTGACTTCATCCAACAGCAGCTTCAACTCCCCGTTTTATCTCCCTGATAGCATCTCATCATCCAGAGCATAACCACAGTAATGAGACTTCTCAGCCAATGAAGTGGAGGCAGGCAGCAGATCAGAGCTTTATTACAGGTGCCTATGAGCAGCAGAGAAGCTGCACTGAGAATCTCTTTCCATATTTACCTGTTGACACGTCTCGGCCTGTCAACGAGGTAGCTGAGTTCAGCTCGCTGGTGTTTGGTCTGAAAGAGAAGGGGCGGTTTTCAGTGTGTGTCACTTGAGCACCTTATGTAACATGATTAGCATAGAGAAAAAAGGCAACAGAAAAAGAACATCGCCACCATCGAGCCAGAGATGATGCAACCCACACAGTGTCATGTTGATGTTAGCTATGAAATGAGTGCTCACCCATTACACATATCACTCATATCTGGTGAGAAGAGTATGTTTGAGGAGGTGTGTTTTCCCACAGAGCGATGGGGAGCACGGCTCTGCACACATCTTGCCAAGGTGCAGGATTAAGTGGTCCTGCTATTCACCCGGCACAACCCAGAGACGCGTCTTTGTTCTAGTGCGACTCAGCAGCATTGTGACTAGTGTGCTTAATGCAAATGCAGACACACACACACGCACGCACGCACGCACGCACGCACACGCACGCACGCACACACACACACACACACACACACAGATGCTCCCACAGCAACCAGCCACTCCTGAGCCAACATACTTTATCCTTATAAATTTGTTTTTTACTTTAAAGTCAAGGGAGCACAACACACACACACACACACACACACACACACACACACACACACACACACACACAGGGTCGACCTCTCTGAGAGCTGCCAAGGCAACACATCACCAACCAGTAGTCCAGTGGTTCTATCTGCTTTCACTCTGTTCAGAGGGCGTCGTATTGTGCTGTGTGTCGTAGCAGCTGATGGGAGCTATCAGTAGATCTGGCATGCTCAGGGAAAATATTAGGAAATAAAACGGCTCCTGTGTGAAACACATTTTGTATTTTTCATGATTAAATGTGTTTAAATCAAATTAAACAAGCACGTTTCATGTGTCGACGGGGAGGTCCTGCGTATGAACCCAGTTCATGCTGAATGATGGGAGGGGGGTTAAACTGTGGGTATGAGAGGGACTCTTACCTCATTTGATAAAATGCTGCCGTTTGATATGATGTCAGGCTGCTGGTCTGTGTACCCTGTCACTATGGCCCCGCACGGGTTGTGATCGGTGTCTGTGCTCCTAGACGGGCTACACGGCTTTAGGAACATGAGGTCGGTTTTGGCAGACTCTGGAGTCAGACATACCTGGTAGCAATAGTTCTGGTTTTGGTGGTGGGAGCCGAAGCTCCCCGACTCCTCCACGGGGACCTGAGCTGTGCCAGCCCCACTGACGTTAACAGCGCTTTGTACCAGCATGATATCCGACTTGCTGAGCTTTTTCTTGCGGGCCCGGCCCTGCCGTGAGCAGCAGGAGCTGCAGCCCAGACAGCAGTCACTGGTCAGGCAGGTGTAAATGTTGAGCTTTTTGTCCTTTTGGCAACGCACAGCCAGGACAATCATGACCAGCAGGAAAATGAAGGAGACGGAGCCCAGGGCGATAATCAGGATGAGGGTGAGGTCCAGGGTGCCGTCTTTGGCCTTGGTGGTGCCGCCTCTGTCCCCGCTGCCACGGCCCTCGGCCACGCTGTCCACCAGCATCACCAGCACACTGGCGCTGGAGGACAGCGGTGGCTGGCCGTGGTCTCTCACCTCCACCAGCAGGTCGTACAGCTGGTGGGGGTCTCGCTTGGCTGAGACCCGCCTCGCCGTTCTCAGCTCACCCGTCCTCCAGTCCATCCTGAACATGCCGTTTTCATTCCCTCTCTGGATGCTGTAGGACAAGCGAGCATTCTCTCCATCATCTGCATCCATGGCCACAATGCGGGTCACCAGGTAGCCTGGCTCAGCTGAGCGGGGCAGAGGCTCCTTGGCTGTGCCATTCTTCCCCAGAGGAGACAGCACCAGGGGGGCATTATCATTCTGGTCCACAATGATGACTTTGACAGTGGCATTGGAGAAAAGCTCTGGGGTACCTGCGTCTTTGGCCTGCACCATGAAAGTGAAATCCTTCAGCTGCTCATAATCAAAGGACCTGAGTGCATACAGATATCCTGTCTCCTCGTTGATGGACACGTAGGTTTTGACGGACATGCCCTGGATGTCGCACTCTAGTATGGAGTAGCTGATGAGCGCGTTCTGCCCGATGTCCGGGTCCAGAGCGGTCACAGCGTGTATGTACGCTCCTGGCACATTGTTCTCTGTCACGTACACGTCGTACATGGGCTGCGTAAATGTGGGCGCGTTGTCGTTCTCATCCGACACCTGGACTCGAATAGATTTACTGGTGGCCAGTGACGGCGTTCCTTTATCGCGCGCCACCACGGTCACAGAGTACGAGTCCGCCTGCTCCCGGTTCAGCGGGCCGTCGGTCACGATGGTGAAGTAATTCCTAAAGGAGGACTTTAATTTAAACGGGACATCACCGAGGATTTCCACGTGGATCTGTCCGTTCTCCTCTGCGTCCCGGTCCGTCACACTTAGCAGCGCGATGACGGTACCAGGAGCCGCTTTTTCACTCACCGACTCTTTGACGGTGCTGAAGGTGATCTCCGGTGCGTTGTCGTTCACGTCGCTCACTTTGACCAGCACTTTGCAGTGCGCGGGCACAGCGTTTGGCCCCAGATCTTTGGCCTGGACGAAGATTTGATACAGGCTGCTCTCCTCGAAATCCACCTCTCCGCGCACTTCGATGCGGCCCGTGCGCGGGTCGATGCTGAACAGGTCCTTTACGCGGTTGGAGATGTGGTTGCTGAACGAATAAACTATTTCCCCGTTTAGTCCCTCGTCCAGGTCGGTGGCGTTAAGTTGTATGACCAGCGTGCCCACCGGTGCGTTTTCCGAGAGGCTCACGGTGTAAACGGGCTGGTCAAACACCGGCACGTTGTCGTTGGAGTCCAACACTTTGACCACAAGCAGCGCGGTGCCAGTCCGGGGAGGCTGGCCGCCGTCCACCGCGGTCAGAACGTACCTGTGCGCCGCCTGCTGCTCCCGGTCCAGCGGCTTCTCCAAGACGAGCTCCGCGAATTTGTTTCCGTCCGTTTGGGTCTGCACGTCCAGATAAAAGTAGTTGTTCGTGGTGATATCATACGTGCGTAAAGCGTTCGAGCCCACGTCCGGATCGAACGCGCTCTCCAAAGGGAACCGGGTGCCCGGTGTGGCGCTCTCCGAGATCTCCACCGTGATGTCTGTTTCCGGGAAGCTGGGCGGGTTGTCGTTAATGTCCACCACCTCGATTTCGACCCGAAACAGCTCCAGCGGGTTCTCCAAGAACACCTCCATGTTGAGCTGGCAGCTGGCGCTCTGCTTGCAGATCTGCTCCCGGTCAATTTTCTCGTTAACGAACAGGACGCCGTTCTCCAGGTTCACCTCCAGGTACGGTGTCCGGGAGCTGGGCACCACTTGGAAGCGGCGAGAGGCCAACTTGGTGAGGTCCAGCCCCAGATCCTCGGCGATATTCCCCACCAAGGTGCCATGGTCCGCCTCCTCCGGGACAGAGTAGCGTATCTGAGCGAGCACTCCATCCGCGATACAGAGAACGACCAAAAGCACAATCATCGCCGGAAATAAAAGTGCACTTGGGTAAAAATATCATAAACCTTATTATCCTCTGTTAATGGACAAAACGTCAATTTCCATCACCCATTTCAGTTGGCAAGCAGAAATCTCATAAATGCGTAAAAGTCTCCAAAAATGCGCACGGCGTCTGGACAAACGTGTCCCATCAGAAGGGAGGCATTTATATGTTTTAAGCGGAGCTGCAGTGATTGCGGAGGCTTTTCCTTCTCCTGACTGCCTGTCTTGCTTCTTATACGTGTCCCGGAGACGCTACAGCGCACATTCCAATGAAGCGCAGCGCTGCCGGAGGGATGAAACCAGTGTGGAAAAGAGTTGGAAAAACAAATTATAATCCATTTACGACAGATGAGAGAAACGCTGTCTCTTTAGCGACGGTGTCTAAACAGAAAACGCACGTCAGACTCGTCCTCTTGGTGTTTCTGGCTCTGGCTCCTCTTGGCACCTTGCTCCCTCACTGCAGTCTCCTCCACTCCACTCTCCACTGATGCTGTTCACTCAACTATTTGCTTTTTTCTCCTCGTAGCACCTCCTCCCGCAGCCCCTCACGGCTGTAAATCACGCTGAGAGCTCTCTCGTCATTGGTTACACGGGGTGTCCGTCAACGTCCGCTCGGCGCTGCGCTCCCTCACTGCCGCTCTGTCGCTCTACCTCCCGCTGAGCGAGGACTGGCTCCTCGCTTAGAAATACAAACGCACGAGAAAATGGGGAAAGGGAACGAGGAGGCTGCACATGGATGATTTGAAGCCCTTAAAAACGAGAGCCCCTGCCCCACCTCCCTGTCACAAACGCATTCCTAATGAGCGTGATTAGACGGCCTGCAGGACTTGTTGACTTGGGTGAACCTGTGACACTCGCAGGGCCAAGCGGGTTAATGCATGCAAATGTTGTGATATGCATGCAGTGAATCATTCGCCATTCATATGCTGCTCTCCAGGATGTGAGCTATAATTACACCCAACAGTAGTATCGGTATTATGTCTCAGCAGCGGGACAAAAAGGCAGACGAGGAGGGAGATCTGTGGACCACATACGACCCCTAGTGGTGCAAATGCAGGCCTGGGCCTGATGGTCTGTCTGTGGAGAGTCGGACCAGGGGAAGTATGCAGAGACCTGGATGACTTGGAGACTAACTAAGGAGACTCTGCACATAGTCACGTGTAGATTGGCATTCCTCTATCATGTGGATCTTTTATTCCTCAATCAACAAATATGGGATTTAAAAAAATTTAAAATGGTTCAAGCTTTTCAACTTGCATCTTTTCTTTTGGTCTGCCAGTTTGAGCATCCATCTGACACAGTGTCCATTCCTGTCAACTCCCTCATAGTGTTTACACCAAACATTAAGCTACAGATGTGTTTAGAATGGCTAGATAACCCACGTCACATGACTAAATGTAAATCAGAAAACATGGACAGTTTCACAGTTTCCAGATTCTCTAAAACCATTTTCCTTGATTCTACCCACACTGGTGCATCTAAAAATCCATCTGAATGGATGTACGGCTCAAATTACAGCTGAAAGTGTACAAAAGCTGTATGAAAATAGAGTTTTGTTTTAAAATGTTTTCATATTTGTGAATTTTGCAGAACAATTATACAAAGAATCTGTGAGTTTTGTTTCAGCATCAGGTTCTGAGGTTCTAAACAGCAGCATGAAAAGCTAAACATGTCAAACCAACCAATCTGGAACCTGAGCCAAAACAAACTCCAGACAAGTTGTGATGCTGAATCAGACCACAGTGAATACAGTGAATCTGGCTTTTTAGTGTAAAGTATCAGAACTGCTGATTGGGATAAAGCTGGTTGTATTTGTTGTCCTGACTTGTTTATGTTTGTTATTCTGACAGTAAATGTTACTGGATTATCTGATGTTTTGTTTTAAAGCTGTCGTCATTACCTGTGGCTGCAGGTGTCTCAGTGGTTAGCACTGTGGCCTCACAGCTAGAAGGTCTCCGGTTGGCGTCCCGGTGAGGACACCCGGGATCTTCCTGCGTGGAGTCTCCATGTTCTCCCCGTGCAGCGTGGGTTCTCTCCGGGTTCTCCGGCTTCCTCCCACAGTCCAGAAACATGCTGAGGTTAATTGGTGATTGTAAATTGTCCGTAGGTGTGAATGTGAGTGTGCTTGGTTGTCTGTCTCTAAGTGTAGCCCTGTGATAGACTGGTTACCTGTCCAGGTGAACCTGCCTTCACCCTGAGTCAGCTGGGATAGGCTCCGCCCCCCATGACCCTGGTGAGGATTCATTACCTGTGGGGCAGAGTTAGAACCAATCACTGCTCCTAAATGTTGTCTTGTTCTTGTTTGTCCATCTGCTCGTTCATGTAGCTGAAATAAAACCATAAATACCAACAGTCTGCTGGAGCAGAGAAACGTCTCCCTTCATCTCTGTTCTTCACAAATCCTCTCCTCCTTTCATCTCGTCACCTCCACCTTGGCCTCAACAGGAAATCTGAGTTGGTTTGTGTGTTCAACTGAGTGAAGGAGAGCAGCTCAAGTCAGACCGAGTGCACCCCCTAGTGAGCGACTAGCACACTACACCTCAGACAGAGCTGTCCAGCGTGTCTCCCCTCCGACTCTGGAGTCCACGACGCCCACACATGCAGTGAGTAAAACACAGTGGCTTCAGTGCATGATTCACGCTGTCTGCAGACTGTCAGAGCTGCACAGACCAGGTCACTGGAGGGGAAACAGGAACTGGCTCCGAGACGAGACTTTTTACATCAAGTTCCATCAAGTCAGCAGTGCACTGAGAAAAGCATCACAGTCTGCTCAGATGGCCAGAGTGAGCCTTCAGGGGACAGAGGAGGGAATCACAGCTTTCCACAAACGCTCACGGTTGTCCAGGGCCGAGCAGCTAATGCACAAATGTTGTCCACGATAACGATGCAAATGTGTTTGTTACTCACCATGCGCGTCGCTTTGCTGCCGCGTGATGAAACATCAGCAAACAATCATCTCGTCCTGATTCACATGGCCGTCATATGTTCTTCACGGGTCATTTTTTGAGCTAGAAACACAGTGTGGTGAGTCATTGCAGTGTTTCAGTGGGTGACAATAACAGCGTCTCACACGGGAGCCCCGAAAGTTAAAAAGTCCTCTTTAGTGCCTGACAGAGGAGGCTGTAGTTTGCTCACCACAAGGCAATAATATGACTGGTAGGAGCTGATGCCATTCACATTAGAAACACACCCCCTGTCCATCCTGTTGGTGTCGTCCTTGAGGCAGGAGACAAGAACCTGTGGACGGCACGACACTGCTGTGTTAGCAAGGCCACGGCCGGAGGACTCAGCAAAAGAAAACTAAACAGAGACACTTCAGCGATCAGGGGCCTGGACTACGAAGCAGGACCTGGGGTCAGCGAGGTAGCTTCAGGTCAGATCCTGGGTCTTCAGTCCTATGACGGTGGTTCTCTTCTTACCGGGTCCATCACCATGGTAACCTAGCTGAACGGCTAACCTGCTCCGCAGCAGGTTCTGCTGGAGGTTGAGACCAGTGGTATAAAACACCTCCACTGGAAACCAGTTCTCTGCCGTAAACCTTCAGAAGGACAGAAAACGAAGCAGCTCTCACCAACATGGCTTCATCAGCATCTATAGAAGAGCCGCTACACATCGGAGCTGGACTGTGAGGGACCACTGAGGACTGTGAGGGGTTTTCAGGACCAGCAGAACCCCTTAGTGCCCCCTGACCAGGATCTCTATGAGCTCCTGTCTGCCTTAGTTCATGTGTCTCCTGCTGGCTACAGACAGTGTCAAAGCTGCTTCATATTTATTTCCATCAACATCAGCCACAGCAGCAAACTGACTTCAGCATTAAAGCTCGTATCTGTAGGACACGTTAATGAGCTGCACCGCTTTGGATCATGGTTCTGTTGGTTCTCCATCTGCTCCCACGTCCTTTCTACACCTCCAGGGCTGCAGCTGGAGGTAGAACATGTCAGATAGGCCACGAGTCTGTCCATCAGGCAGCACAGGAGCTAAAGGAGTCCTGAGATGTGCTGCTGGTCTGATACGAGCCTTCATGATGAGCAGTGATCAGGTTTTATTATAAACTAATGAGCTGATCGTCCACACAGGCAGCAGCTTCCTGCCACTTATTTCTTTTTAAATTGTGTATAAGCAATATGTGGAGAGCTGTTTGAGTCTGATGGCATCACACTCAGCAGCTGGAGTTTTTTTTCCTTATTTCCATTTTCTCTTCAGAGTTTTTTGATTCGTCTTTTTGAGGCTGATCATTGCACCACTGTTGAGCTATACCGTTCGTTAGCACAACACTCAGTTCTGTTTGTTATCTCCAGTTTGTGCACACGCATGACAACAGGCCAACATTTTCCTGGCTCCTTATGTTCTGGGCTCAGCCCCTGATGCCTCCCAATCCTAGAAACGCCCCTGATCTCAGTTTCCCACGCGCTGTGGAAGAAAGAAAAAACAGTCTAGTGTCTTAAGAGGGTGCCCTAAAGCAATCCCAGCCACAAGATAATTAGAGCAGGAGAAACAGCTTGTAATCATCACGTTTTAAAGCTGTAGAGACCAAGGAACACCATGTAGGCGGAAACCAGGCACTTTTCTCCTCCTGCTTTAACAGGCACACTATCAATTATCACACAAGCAGAGTCGCTGCTGTGGTGTCACACCCAGAGTGGAGCTAGACGAGCAACAATCGACTATTAAGGGACTTTCATCGAGGCACTGCTACACACAATGATCCGTGTGTTCCTGCACACACACAACTCTCATGAGGTAGAAGAACACACACACACACACACACACACACACACACACACGTTCTGTTCTACTCTGGACAGGGTGTGTCTGTGTCCTGAACATTCACACCCACTTCATGCAGTGTGGTGACGGGAGAGACGCCGAGGATTCAACGTCTTTCTCTTGCTGGATTGTTTTCATGCGTGACTAAATCATTTAAGATGGTTTCCACGTGTCCAGCGCAGCACCGTCTCTGTTTCAAGAACATGTCCATCCAT